ACTCGACGTTTACGTTTTCGTGGCTTTTTGTTTGGATTAATTTATATTTCTGTTTTTATTGGTGGATTTGGTATCTTTTAGGTACAAATCGAAAATTTGGTGTCCATGAAGCAAAAATAATCAAAGGGTAAGAAAAGAGTTGCAATTAAGAAAATAAAATCAAATTAGAAGAGAGAATCCCTCAACATCTTTGGTAGTGTCCACGAAGTCGAGCATAACTCTCTCATCCGGACTCCAAATCGACTGGTTCCGGTGGCATTAGAAAGCTATTTCAGTGGGCTACAATTCCCGTCTAACGTCAAAATTCCAAATTCGGACTCGAACATGGTCAAAATTGGATAACAAAAGCGATCATGAAAATACGTACTACAATTCAAGGACGTGAATGCGCATCAAGAAACGTGCACAAAAACACTCGCTAGAAGAGATACGCACATGAGTAAAAGTTCAAAAGCATGCACAAAAGTACTCACGCAAAAGTGCATTCGCAAAAAGGATCATGAAAACACAAACTACAACCCTAGGACATTAATACAAATCAACAAACATGCACAAACACGCTCCCTCAAATGGACATGCACAAAAACGTACATGTCAAAAAACATGCGCAAAAGTGCATCCGCAACAACATTCTTAAAAACACGAACTACAATACTATGACTTTAATACGCATCAACAGACAACAGCAAAAACACTAGATAAAAAAGATACAATGGAGTGTAGCAATAATACTCGACGTTTACGTTTACGTGGATTTTTGTTTGGATTAATTTATATTTCCGTTTTTTATGGGGGGATTTGGGTATCTTTTAGGTTCAAAATCGAAAATTAGGTTCCATGAAGCAAAAATAATCAAAGGGTAAGAAAAGAGTTGCAATTAAGAAAATAAAATCAAATTAGAAGAGAGAATCCCTCAACATCTTTGGTAGTGTCCACGAAGTCGAGCATAACTCTCTCATCCGGACTCCAAATCGACTGGTTCCGGTGGCATTAGAAAGCTATTTCAGTGGGCTACAATTCCCGTCTAACGTCAAAATTCCATATTCGGACTCGAACATGGTCAAAATTGGATAACAAAAGCGATCATGAAAATACGTACTACAATTCAAGGACGTGAATGCGCATCAAGAAACGTGCAGAAAAACACTCGCTAGAAAAGATACGCACATGAGTAAAAGTTCAAAAGCATGCACAAAAGTACTCACGCAAAAGTGCATTCGCAAAAAGGATCATGAAAACACAAACTACAACCCTAGGACATTAATACAAATCAACAAACATGCACAAACACGCTCCCTCAAATGGACATGGACAAAAACGTACATGTCAAAAAACATGCGCAAAAGTGCATCCGCAACAACATTCTTAAAAACACGAACTACAATACTATGACTTTAATACGCATCAACAGACAACAGCAAAAACACTAGATAAAAAAGATACAATCGAGTGTAGCAATAATACTCGACGTTTACGTTTTCGTGGCTTTTTGTTTGGATTAATTTATATTTCTGTTTTTATTGGTGGATTTGGTATCTTTTAGGTACAAATCGAAAATTAGGTTTCCATGAAGCAAAAATAATCAAAGGGTAAGAAAAGAGTTGCAATTAAGAAAATAAAATCAAATTAGAAGAGAGACTCCCTCAACATCTTTGGTAGTGTCCACGAACTCGAGCATAACTCTCTCATCCGGACTCCAAATCAACTGGTTCCGGTGGCATTAGAAAGCTATTTCAGTGGGCTACAATTGCCGTCTAACGTCAAAATTCCGAATTCGGACTCGAACATGGTCAAAATTGGATAACAAAAGCGATCATGAAAATACGTACTACAATTCAAGGACGTGAATGCGCATAAAGAAACGTGCACAAAAACACTCGCTAGAAAAGATACGCACATGAGTAAAAGTTCAAAAGCATGCACAAAAGTACTCACGCAAAAGTGCATTCGCAAAAAGGATCATGAAAACACAAACTACAACCCTAGGACATTAATACAAATCAACAAACATGCACGAACACGCTCCCTCAAATGGACATGCACAAAAACGTACATGTAAAAAAACATGCGCAAAAGTGCATCCGCAACAACATTCTTAAAAACACGAACTACAATACTCTCGTCGGATCCGATAAAATGTTTTAAATAGTTCACGATGCTAACCGGAAACCGAGATATGTGTGTGTTTTACGTTAACTTTGATTGCTCCTATGCGACATAATATTTTATATATATATAGTAGAACAATATTTGCAAATCTCGATATTTTTCGAGATCCTTACTGAGCTTTGTTAGCTCATATAGATACTCTCCGTTTGCAGGATCTAGTAGGGATAACTCCGCCGGTTTGGACTAGTAGCGGTTCAAGGGGTCGATTCCGGAAATTTTGGGCTCGTATGGAGGATCCACTAATGTTGCTTATTATCTTAGCTTTTGTTTATTTCGCATTGAAGACTCTTACTATTTCTATTGTAGCGCATGTATATTACTACCCCTAGTGTAAGGCGGACTTTCCTATGTTTCCTTTTGATCTAGTGTATGTAAAATAGTACGGCTTGATGGTTTAATATTTCCGCCTTATAATTACTTCCTTAATTCTCCGCTCGTCTTCTCGTATGATAGCAAGCAACGAAATTTTGAACCTAAGGACAAGGTGACACCAATTAAGTCTTATCGAATAAAGAAAAAAAAAAAATAAATA